GAGAATGTTATAGAAATTTAATCAGGAATTACATATGAAATTTAAAATTCAAAAAATATACAGGGTATTCTATTTGAAATAACAATGTTGATGTTGATGGAATTTTGTTCAAAATAATTTTGGAAAATAGGTTTAGTTGGATCATATTTTCTATAAAAATTTCATATCGATATCTTTAATAGCAAAAAAAATATGGACCGATCACAGAGCACTGGGTCACCCTGTATAACCAATAAGTAAAAGCATTCTAAAATCGCCATATTGTTTGCTGTCCATTCTAACAAAAGGAAATGCCATAAATTTTAATAATTTGTTTTATTTCAAAAATAAGGTAATTTAATCAAACCAATAATAAAACATAATATTATTTTATGTTTAAAAGCATTTTAAATCAATTTTATCTATTTTGCGTTCATAATGACTTATAGCACCGAAATTTCTAATACTTACGAGACTTTTCTGGCAATACATTTTGTTTAACACCAAAGAAAATCCTTTTTTTCTTCTTGAATATTAACAGCTGTTTATTGTAAATAAGTAAATTAAGGACGGCATGGCGAATCGATTTTGACATTAACTGTCAGGTATAAAATTCATTTTTTTTATAGAATTTTTGCAAAATAGATAAAATAGCAGAACTCATGTCACAAGACCTTTTGTCCCACTCGTCCATTACAAAACTCGCTCCTTCGTAGCTCGTTTTATAAATTGTCCGCGTGCGACAAAATGACATTAGTTCTTTAATATACTATTAAACGAAATTAAGAAAAAATCAATGACGTCAAAATGACGTCTTATGACATTATTTCTTTAATATACTATTAAACGAAATTAAGAAAAAATAGGTAAACAATTTTTTTTATTTTTATTTTAATTTTCTTTATTCTTTTTTTTTTCAAAGCGCATTTAAAATATGAAAATATTATGTACTACTTTATCATGTTTTCCCTTAGAACTATCTCTTTAGGATATCAATTCATAATATTATATGAATATTAATATTCAGGGGCGACATTTTATTTTAAGAATTTGTAAATCATCTAAAAATATACATAACCATATTTGGTAAATTATAATTATGTAGAGTTAAAATACTTAAACCGGTTAATTATAGTTTAAGTTCAACTTAATAAGTTGAATAAATTTATTATTTAACTCTTAAGAGTTAAAAAGTAGTTAAAAAAGGGCAAATCAAACCAAAAACTACCAAATTTTACCTTCTTTTTGACCCAAAGGTATATTGACCAAGAAGTTAAATTTAACTAATTTATCGTTAATTTTACTATAATTGAATTCCCCACTTATTAGAAAATAACGTTAATTTAACGTTGTAGTACAATATTACTTAAATGAATTAACCAGGCATAACGTAAATTTAACGTTAATTTAACATATTGTGCTACTAGGAATGTTTCCTCCAAATAGCTACCCAAAGTACATTACTAGAATATTCCCCGCATAAACTTTTTTGAATATGTTTTAAAGATACTTAAAATATATACATGAATTTTGGAATATTCTTAAAAAAGTCTAATTGGAAGTCGTCAGATATTCTAAGAATATTCCTTTGTTTGTTTGTTTAACTATAAGTCACCAGGAACAATCCCCTGGAAAATATTCTTGGCATATTCGGGATATACCAGGAATATTCAAGCGACTATTTCCCTCGTCTTAATTTCCACCAATCACAAACGCGCAATTTTGAATTACAAATGGTTTCTAGGTGAAAAAACTGTGTGACAGAACCTGTCAGCAGTTTATTCGAGTTTACCCGCGGCAAAACTTGACAGCTGTTGTCACCAAAAATTGCAATTTATATTTTAATTGTTAACTGTTACTCATGAAATAGTCTTGTCAAATACCATTCGGGCATCTAATTTTTCCTGTGAAAAAAATCGAAAAAACACAATGCTAAGTAATATTTTTTAACAAAATGCATTCGTGCAGATGCAAAAATCCTCCTCTTCGACTCGGATTTTTGTTGCCACCAGCACTCATGCTTTTTGTTAAAATATTACTTAGCAACGTGTTTTTTCGTTTCTTTTCGGAAAAATTAAATGCCCTTATGATATTACTTATGATAATCAAATATCATATACCTGGAACATTTTCTTGAGAATGTGGATAGCATGTTTTTAGTAGCTTTGAATATTTTTAGAATATTCTTGGAATATGATCCAACATTTCATAGGAATATTACCAAATTATTGTTTTTTTTTGTTATTCCTGGTATATTTGGGATATGCTTGTGATATATGTTGCATGAATTTCATTGTAAATTATCAAATGTAGAAAAATCATAAATTTGGTAACAGCTTAAAAAAATGGAATTATACTGTTCTTAATCTCACCGATTCAGTTAGACCAATTAGACTAAATAAAAAATGGAACAATTGAATATTAGTAGAATATTGTAGGAATATACCAAAAAACACATACCAATAAGATAAGAATAAATAACTATTTATGTCATTAGGTTAAGAAGTAAGGCTTTTTGTGCTAAGCTCAAGGTTTGAGCGAAGCACAAAAAGGCACTTCTTGGCCGAATGGCATACAACATTTTATCTTCAAAGCACTTTCTATAGGTCAATTTAAATCAACATCAAAGCGGCCTAACCTTACTTTTTTAGAATCTCATTTATTTATTAGCTAAAGATTACATTAAATGTACAATAATTATTATTGCTTTTAGAAGCAGTAATAGTTTGACAATACCTAGCTACATGATTTAAGTAGAAATGGATTTTTGCTATTGCATTGAATTCAATTAATTGTTTAATAAATAGGTAGTTTGGAATGTTTAAGCTGTGTTTAGCATTTAATTTCACTGAAAACTTAAAGCAAATAAAAACTTAAAGATAATTTAAATCGTAGAAAAAGAATCGTGCGTTTTCTTGGTTGCCTAACCTCACTTTTTGTTTTATTATTCATATTTAATTTTACAATAATTTAATGAAAAATATTAAACATCAACAGTAAAACAAACAAATTAGTGCTTATTATAAATAAATTAAACCAGTTTAGTACGTTAATTTCTTAGAAAAGGATTAATTTGTCAAAACAATACCCCTAGCGAGAAAAAATCGAACTAATTACTTGCCTCATAAAAATTGTTATCGGCCTAGGCCATAACAAGGTATTTCTTTATCGAATGTTGACAACAATAAAGTTTAAATTATAGACCGAGTGGAGATAAAATACATTATTCATGTGCCTGGGATATACTGAATGAATGTAACTTATAGACACGAATATTACCTGAATATGACAAGAATATTAGGAATATTCTTAATCTATTAAGTAGATTTAGAGAATATTCCGTGCTGTCTGGATACATTAATTATAACAATTTAAATTGTTTGTTTCAGGATGCATAACATTTCTTTCCTCCGGAATGCACTACGGCTGGGCTTCACCCTCCTTGCCCCAACTATTGGGAAACGACTCTCAGATACCCATGACTAGTGACGATGGTTCCTGGGTGGCTACCATGTCCGTGATGGGAAACATTCCTGGTTCAATCCTAGGTGGATACATGTCGGACGCGATCGGACGAAAGAACAGCATCATGCTCACTTCACCAATATACCTACTGTCCTGGATACTGGTTGCCTTCGCTCCCACTCTAACGTTCCTGAATGTGGCCAGATTTTCAGCAGGCATAGCCGATGGTTTGATATACACTGCTTTTCCGATGTACATAGGCGAAATATCGGACCCCAGCATACGGGGTTTACTGGGTTCGGCCATACAAGTGTCCTTGGTCATAGGAATACTCCTCATCAATGTCATTGGTGTCAACTTCAACATCAAATACACGGCGCTGATATCGGGGATTATACCGATACTGCACTTCGTGACATTCTACTTTATGCCTGAGAGCCCATACTATCTCATAATGTCCGGGAAAAAAGAGGAGGCGAGAGACAGCATGGATATTTTTAATGGTGGGGAAAACGTCGACGAAAATCTCCGACGCGTTTCCGAAGCTGTTCGTAAGGATAAAGAAGGGACAGGGAAAATATGGGATCTATTTACTGTGAAATCAAACAGAAAGGCTGCAATAATCGTGTTTGGACTAAGAGCCTTCCAACAATTCTCCGGAGTAGCGGCCATAATGTTCTACGCCAAAATAATCTTCCAGGAAGCTAGCACCGACATATCAGCCAACTTATCCACAATTATATACTTTATAATACAGCTGGTGATGTCGCTTTTGTCATCCTTCATCGTGGATAAAACTGGCAGAAGGCCTCTGCTGATATTTTCCATCATAGGCTCAGCTGTCGCCCTAGCAACTGAAGGTTTATATTTCTACTTTGAAAACGATGAACTGTACAGCACTTCCTCACTAATCTATTTACCTCTGATCGCCCTTTTAACCTTCGTGGTCATATTCAACTTGGGTATGGGCACCATACCAGTATTAATATTGGGGGAATTTTTCCCCACAAACGTTAAAGCCTTCGCGCTCTGTATAGCCGATATGGTTTCTTGCACTACAGTGTCGATATCAGCAAAGTTCTTCCAGATTACAAAGGATAACTTCGGAATGCACGTGCCATTTTTTTCGTTCACCGTTTGCTGTTTGCTAGCGCTGGTATTTATTTTGCTGTATATCCCCGAAACGAAGGGAAAAACATTGGAGGAAATTCAGGAACATTTGAGGGGAGATCATAAAAAAGAGTCTGAGACTGTGACAAGATGTTAGATTTAGTATGTAAGGATATTTTATAAAGAATTCATTTAAGACTGTAAAAATAAATGATTTAGTTGAGTCAATTTGTATTTTTTTTTATTTAGGTCGGCATCTTTTCTTCTGGTATAGTTAATGGTTTGATGTTAGGTTTACTGCGTTCAGTCATATAAGTGTCTTTAGTCATAAAAATACAACATAAAACAAACAGCGTTGATATCGGGGATCATACCAATACTGCACTTCGTAACATTCTACTTTATGCCTCAAAATTTCTAGCATAAAAGAGGAGACAAGAGACAGTATGGACATTTTCAATGGTGACGAAAACGTCGACGAAAATCTCCACCGCGTTTCCGAAGCTGTTCGTAAAGATAAAGAAGGGACAGGAAAAATATGGGATCTATTTACTGTGAAATCAAACAGAAAGGCTGCAATAATCGTGTTTGGACTAAGAGCCTTCCAACAATTCTCCGGGGTGGCGGCCATAATGTTCTACGCGAAAATAATCTTCCAGGAAGCTAGCACCGACATATCAGCCAACTTATCCACAATTATATACTTTATAATACAGCTGGTGATGTCGCTTTTGTCATCCTTCATCGTGGATAAAACTGGCAGAAGGCCTCTGCTGATATTTTCCATCATAGGCTCAGCTGTCGCCCTAGCAACGGAAGGTTTATATTTCTACTTCGAAAACGATGAACTGTACAGCACTTCCTCACTAATCTATTTACCTCTGATCGCCCTTTTGACCTTCGTGGTCATATTTAACTTGGGTATGGGCACCATACCAGTACTAATATTGGGGGAATTTTTCCCCACAAACGTTAAAGCCTTCGCGCTCTGTATAGCCGATATGGTTTCTTGCACTACAGTGTCGATATCAGCAAAGTTTTTCCAGATAACAAAGGATAACTTCGGAATGCACGTGCCATTTTTTTCGTTCACCGTTTGCTGTTTGCTAGCGCTGGTGTTTATTTTGCTGTATATCCCCGAAACGAAGGGAAAAACATTGGAGGAAATTCAGGAACATTTGAGGGGAGATCATAAAAAAGAGTCTGAGACTGTGACAAGATGTTAGATTTAGTATGTAAGGATATTTTATAAAGAATTCATTTAAGACTGTAAAAATAAATGATTTAGTTGAGTCAATTTGTATTTTTTTTTATTTAGGTCGACATCTTTTCTTCTGGTATAGTTAATGGTTTGATGTTAGGTTTACTGCGTTCAGTCATATAAGTGTCTTTAGTCATAAAAATACTCCTCATAAAAGTTATTGTTGTCAACTTCAACATAAAACAAACAGCGTTGATATCGGGGATCATACCAATACTGCACTTCGTAACATTCTACTTTATGCCTGAGAGCCCATACTATCTCAAAATTTCTAGCATAAAAGAGGAGACAAGAGACAGCATGGACATTTTCAATGGTGACGAAAACGTCGACGAAAATCTCCACCGCGTTTCCGAAGCTGTTCGTAAGGATAAAGAAGGGACAGGGAAAATATGGGATCTATTTACTGTGAAATCGAGCAGAAAGGCTGCAATAATCGTGTTTGGACTAAGAGCCTTCCAACAATTCTCCGGGGTGGCGGCCATAATGTTCTACGCGAAAATAATCTTCCAGGAAGCTAGCACCGACATATCAGCCAACTTATCCACAATTATATACTTTATAATACAGCTGGTGATGTCGCTTTTGTCATCCTTCATCGTAGATAAAACTGGCAGAAGGCCTCTGCTGATATTTTCCATCATAGGATCAGCTGTCGCCCTAGCAACTGAAGGTTTATATTTCTACTTCGAAAACGATGAACTGTACAGCACTTCCTCACTAATCTATTTACCTCTGATCGCCCTTTTGACCTTCGTGGTCATATTTAACTTGGGTATGGGCACCATACCAGTATTAATATTGGGGGAATTTTTCCCCACAAACGTTAAAGCCTTCGCGCTCTGTATAGCCGATATGGTTTCTTGCACTACAGTGTCGATATCAGCAAAGTTCTTCCAGATTACAAAGGATAACTTCGGAATGCACGTGCCATTTTTTTCGTTTACCGTTTGCTGTTTGCTAGCTCTGGTGTTTATTTTGCTGTATATCCCCGAAACGAAGGGAAAAACATTGGAGGAAATCCAGGAACATTTGAGGGGAGATCATAAAAAAGAGTCTGAGACTGTGACAAGATGTTAGATTTAGTATGTAAGGATATTTTATAAAGAATTCATTTAAGACTGTAAAAATAAATGATTTAGTTGAGACGATTTGTATTTTTTTTATTTAGGTCGACATCTTTTCTTCTGGTATAGTTCATTAACTTAGTTAGGTTTACTGCGTTCAGCCATATAAGTGTCTTTAGTCATAAAAATACTCCTTATAAAAGTTATTGTTGTCAACTTCAACATAAAACAAACAGCGTTGATATCGGGAATCATACCAATACTGCATTTCGTAACATTCTACTTTATGCCTGAGAGCCCATACTATCTCAAAATTTCTGGCATAAAAGAAGAGACAAGAGACGCCAAAATAATCTTCCAGGAAGCTAGCACCGACATATCACACATATCACAATTATATAGTTTATAATACAGCTGGTGATGTCGCTTTTGTCATCCTTCATCGTGGATAAAACTGGCAGAAGGCCTCTGCTGATATTTTCCATCATAGGCTAAGCTGTCGCCCTAGCAACTGAAGGTTTATATTTCTACTTCGAAAACGATGAACTGTACAGCACTTCCTTACTCATATATATATAAATATATATTTACCTCTGATCGCCCTTTTGACCTTCGTGGTCATATTTAACTTGGGTATGGGCACCATACCAGTATTAATATTGGGGGAATTTTTCCCCACAAACGTTAAAGCCTTCGCGCTCTGTATAGCCGATATGGTTTCTTGCACTACAGTGTCGATATCAGCAAAGTTCTTCCAGATTACAAAGGATAACTTTGGAATGCACGTGCCATTTTTTTCGTTTACCGTTTGCAGTTTGCTAGCCCTGGTGTTTATTTTGATGTACATCCCCGAAACGAAGGGAAAAACATTGGAGGAAATCCAGGAACATTTGAGGGGAGATCATAAAAAAGAGTCTGTAAGGATATTTTATAAAGAATTCATTTAAGACTGTAAAAATAAATGATTTAGTTGAGACAATTTGTATTTTTTTTATTTAGGTCGACAGCTTTTCTTCTGGTTTAGTTAATGGTTTGATGTTAGGTTTACTGCGTATTTTTTAAACTAACAAATTCTAGCATACGAGGTTTACTGAGTTCAGCCATACAAGTGTCTTTAGTCATAGAAATACTCCTCATAAAACTTACTGGTGTCAACTTCAACATAAAACACACAGATCATACCAATACTGCACTTCGTAACATCCTACTTTATGCCTGAGAGCGTATACTATCTCAAAGTTTCTGGCATTAAAGAAGAGACAAAGGACAGTATAGGCATTTTCAAACGAAAATCTCCAACGCGTTTACAAAGCTGTTCGTAAGGATAAAGAAGGGACAGGGATAATATGGGATCTATTTACGGTGAAATCGAACAGAAAGGCAGCAATAATCGTGTTTGGATTAAGAGCCTTCCAACAATTCTCCGGGGTAGCGGCCATAAGGTTCTACGCGAAAATAATCTTTCTGGAAGCTAGCACCGACATATCAGCCAACTTATCCACAATTATATACTTTATAATACAGCTGTGGATAAAAGTGGCAGAAGGCCTTTGCTGATATTTTCCATCATAGGCTCAGCTGTCGCCCTAGCAACTGAAGGTTTATATTTCTACTTCGAAAACGATGAACTGTACAGCACTTCCTTACTAATCTATTTACCTCTGATCGCCCTTTTGACCTTCGTGGTCATATTTAACTTGGGTATGGGCACCATACCAGTATTAATATTGGGGGAATTTTTCCCCACAAACGTTAAAGCCTCTGTATAGCCGTTATGGTTTCTTGCATTACAGTGTCGATATCAGCAAAGTTCTTCCAGATTACAAAGGATAACTTCGGAATGCACGTGCCATTTTTTTCGTTTACCGCTTGCTGTTTGCTAGCTCTGGTGTTTATTTTGGTGTACATCCCTGAAACGAAGGGAAAAACATTGGAGGAAATCCAGGAACATTTGAGGGGAGATCATAAAAAAGAGTCTGAGACTGTGACAAGATGTTAAATTTAGTATGTAAGGATATTTTATAAAGAATTCATTTAAGAATGTAAAAATAAATGATTTAGTTGAGACAATTTTTATTTTTTTTATTTAGGTCGACAGCTTTTCTTCTGGTATAGTTAGTTAATGGTTAAATGTTAGGTTTACTGCGTATTTTTTAAACTAACAAATCCTAGCATACGAGGTTTACTGAGTTCAGCCATACAAGTGTCTTTAGTCATAGAAATACTCCTCATAAAACTTACTGGTGTCAACTTCAATATAAAACACACAGATCATACCAATACTGCACTTCGTAACATCCTACTTTATGCCTGAGAACCTATACCATCTCAAAATTTCTGGCATAAAAGAAAAGACAAAGGACAGTATGGACATTTTCAAACGAAAATCTCCAACGCGTTTCCGAAGTTGTTCGTAAGGATAAAGAAGGGACAGGGAAAATATGGGATCTATTTACTGTGAAATCAAACAGAAAGGCTGCAATAATCGTGTTTGGACTAAGAGCCTTTTAACAATTCTCCGGGGTAGCGGCCATAATGTTCTACGCCAAAATAATCTTCCAGGAAGCTAGCATCGACATATCAGCCAACTTATCCGCGCCTTCGCGCTCTGTATAGCCGTTATGGTTTCTTGCATTACAGTGTCGATATCAGCAAAGTTCTTCTAGATTACAAAGGATAACTTCGGAATGCACGTGCCATTTTTTTCGTTCACTGTTTGCTGTTTGCTAGCGCTGGTGTTTATTTTGCTGTATATCCCCGAAACGAAGGGAAAAACATTGGAGGAAATTCAGGAACATTTGAGGGGAGATCATAAAAAAGAGTCTGAGACTGTGACAAGATGTTAGATTTAGTATGTAAGAATATTTTATAAAGAATTCATTTAAGACTGTAAAAATAAATGATTTAGTTGAGACAATTTGTATTTTTTTTATTTAGGTCGACAGCTTTTCTTCTGGTTTAGTTAATGGTTTGATGTTAGGTTTACTGCGTATTTTTTAAACTAACAAATCCTAGCATACGAGGTTTACTGAGTTCAGCCATACAAGTGTCTTTAGTCATAGAAATACTCCTCATAAAACTTACTGGTGTCAACTTCAACATAAAACACACAGATCATACCAATACTGCTCTTCGTAACATCCTACTTTATGCCTGAGAGCGTATACTATCTCAAAGTTTCTGGCATTAAAGAAGAGACAAAGGAAAGTATAGGCATTTTCAAACGAAAATCTCCAACGCGTTTACAAAGCTGTTCGTAAGGATAAAGAAGGGACAGGGATAATATGGGATCTATTTACGGTGAAATCGAACAGAAAGGCAGCAATAATCGTGTTTGGATTAAAAGCCTTCCAACAATTCTCCGGGGTAGCGGCCATAAGGTTCTACGCGAAAATAATCTTTCTGGAAGCTAGCACCGACATATCAGCCAACTTATCCACAATTATATACTTTATAATACAGCTGGTGATGTCGCTTTTGTCATCCTTCATCGTGGATAAAACTGGCAGAAGGCCTTTGCTGATATTTTCCATCATAGGCTCAGCTGTCGCCCTAGCAACTGAAGGTTTATATTTCTACTTCGAAAACGATGAACTGTACAGCACTTCCTTACTAATCTATTTACCTCTGATCGCCCTTTTGACCTTCGTGGTCATATTTAACTTGGGTATGGGCACCATACCAGTATTAATATTGGGGGAATTTTTCCCCACAAACGTTAAAGCCTTCGCGCTCTGTATAGCCGATATGGTTTCTTGCACTACAGTTTCGATATCAGCAAAGTTCTTCCAGATTACAAAGGATAATTTCGGAATGCACGTGCCATTTTTTTCGTTCACCGTTTGCTGTTTGCTAGCTCTGGTGTTTATTTTGTTGTACATCCCTGAAACGAAAGGAAAAACATTGGAGGAAATCCAGGAACATTTGAGGGGAGATCATAAAAAAGAGTCTGAGACTGTGACAAGATGTTAGATTTAGTATGTAAGGATATTTTATAAAGAATTCATTTAAGACTGTAAAAATAAATGATTTAGTTGAGACAATTTGTATTTTTTTTATTTAGGTCGACAGCTTTTCTTCTGGTATAGTTAGTTAATGGTTTGATGTTAGGTTTACTGCGTATATTTAAACTAACAAATCCTAGCATACGAGGTTTAGTGAGTTCAGCCATACAAGTGTCTTTAGTCATAGAAATACTCCTCATAAAACTTACTGGTGTCAACTTCAACATAAAACACACAGATCATACCAATACTGCACTTTGTAACATCCTGCTTTATGCCTGAGAGCATATACTATCTCAAAATTTCTGGCATAAAAGAAGAGACAAAGGACAGTATGGACATTTTCAAACGAAAATCTCCAACGCGTTTCCGAAGCTGTTCTTAAGGATTAAGAAGGGACAGGGAAAATATGGGATATATTTACGGTGAAATCCAAAAGAAGGGTTTCAATAATCGTGTTTGGATTAAGAGCCTTCCAACAATTCTCCGGGGTAGCGGCCATAATGTTCTATGCGAAAATAATCTTTCAGGAAGCTAGCACCGACATATCAGCCAACTTATCCACAATTATATACTTTATAATACAGCTGGTGATGTCGCTTTTGTCATCCTTCATCGTGGATAAAACTGGCAGAAGGCCTTTGCTGATATTTTCCATCATAGGCTCAGCTGTCGCCCTAGCAACTGAAGGTTTATATTTCTACTTCGAAAACGATGAACTGTACAGCACTTCCTCACTAATATATTTACCTCTGATCGCCCTTTTGACCTTCGTGGTCATATTTAACTTGGGGATGGGCACCATACCAGTATTAATATTGGGGGAATTTTTCCCCACAAACGTTAAAGCCTTCGCGCTCTTTATAGCCGATATGGTTTCTTGCACTACAGTGTCGATATCAGCAAAGTTCTTCCAGATTACAAAGGATAACTTCGGAATGCATGTGCCATTTTTTTCGTTCACCGTTTGCTGTTTGCTAGCGCTGGTGTTTATTTTGGTGTATATCCCGGAAACGAATGGAAAAACGTTGGAGGAAATTCAGGAACATTTGAGGGGAGATCATAAAAAAGAGTCTGAGACTGTGACAAGATGTTAGATTTAGTATGTAAGGATATTTTATAAAGAATTCATTTAAGACTGTAAAAATAAATGATTTAGTTGAGACAATTTGTATGTTTTTTATTTAGGTCGACAGCTTTTTTTCTGGTATAGTTAGTTAATGGTTTAATGTTAGGTTTACTGCGTATTTTTTAAACTAACAAATCCTAGCATACGAGGTTTACTGAGTTCAGCCATAAGTGTCTTTAGTCATAGAAATACTCCTCATAAAACTTACTGGTGTCAACTTCAACATAAAACAGACAGATCATACCAATACCGCACTTCGTAACATCCTACTTTATGCCTGAGAGCCTATACTATCTCAAAATTTCTGGCATAAAAGAAGAGACAAAGGACAGTATGGACATTTTCAAACGAAAATCTCCAACTCGTTTTCGAAGCGTTCGTAAGGATAAAGAAGGGACAGGGAAAATATGGAATCTATTTACTGTGAAATCGAACAGAAAGGCTGCAATAATCGTGTTTGGATTAAGAGCTTTTCAACAATTCTCCGGGGTAGCGGCCATAATATTCTACACGAAAATAATCTTTCAGGAAGCTAGCACCGACATATCAACCAACTTATCCACAATTATATACTTTATAATACAGCTGGTGATGTCGCTTTTGTCATCCTTCATCGTAGATAAAACTGGCAGAAGGCCTCTGCTGATATTTTCCATCAGAGGCTCAGCTGTCGCCCTAGCAACTGAAGGTTTATATTTCTTCTTCGAAAACGATGAACTGTACAGCACTTCCTCACTAATATATTTACCTCTGATCGCCCTTTTGACCTTAGTGGTCATAAATAACTTGGGTATGGGCACCATACCAGTATTAATATTGGGGGAATTTTTCCCCACAAACGTTAAAGCCTTCGCGCTCTGTATAGCCGATATGGTTTCTTGCATTACAGTGTCGATATCAGCAAAGTTCTTCCAGATTACAAAGGATAACTTCGGAATGCACGTGCCATTTTTTTCGTTCACCGTTTGCTGTTTGCTAGCCCTGGTGTTTATTTTGGTGTATATCCCGGAAACGAAGGGAAAACCATTGGAGGAAATCCAGGAACATTTGAGGGGAGATCATAAAAAAGAGTCTGAGACTGTGACAAGATGTTAGATTTAGTATGTAACGATATTTTATAAAGAATTCATTTAAGACTGTAAAAATAAATGATTTAGTTGAGACAATTTGTATTTTTTTATTTAGGTCGACAGCTTTTCTTCTGGTATAGTTAGTTAATGTTTTAATGTTAGGTTTACTGCGTATTTTTTAAACTAACAAATCCTAGCATACGAGGTTTACTGAGTTCAGCCATACAAGTGTCTTTAGTCATAGAAATACTCCTCATAAAACTTACTGGTGTCAACTTCAACATAAAACACACAGATCATACCAATACTGCTCTTCGTAACATCCTACTTTATGCCTGAGAGCCTATACTATCTCATCCTATACTGGTATAAAAGAAGAGACCAAGGACAGTATGAACATTTTCAAACGAAAATCTTCAACGCGTTTCTAAGCTGTTCGAAGGATAAAGAAGGGACAGGGAAAATATGGGATCTATTTACTGTGAAATCAAACAGAAAGGCTGCAATAATCGTGTTTGGATTAAGAGCCTTTCAACAATTCTCCGGGGTAGCGGCCATAATGTTCTAAGCCAAAATAATCTTTCAGGAAGCTAGCACCGACATATCAGCCAACTTATCCACAATTATATACTTTATAATACAGCTGGTGATGTCGCTTTTGTCATCCTTCATCGTGGATAAAACTGGCAGAAGGCCTCTGCTGATATTTTCCATCATAGGCTCAGCTGTCGCCCTAGCAACTAAAGGTTTATATTTCTACTTCGAAAACGATGAACTGTACAGCACTTCCTCACTAATCTATTTACCTCTGATTGCCCTTTTGACCTTCGTGGTCATATTTAACTTGGGTATGGGCACCATACCAGTATTAATATTGGGGGAATTTTTCCCCACAACCGTTAAAGCCTTCGCGCTCTGTATAGCCGATATGGTTTCTTGCACTACAGTGTCGATATCAGCAAAGTTCTTCCAGATTACAAAGGATAACTTCGGAATGCACGTGCCATTTTTTTCGTTCACCGTTTGCTGTTTGCTAGCGCTGGTGTTTATTTTGCTGTACATCCCGAAAACGAAGTAAAAACCAGGAAATAAATAACTTGTTAAGCCAATTTGTATTTTTATTCAATTTAATTGAAAACAAAAGTATTGTCTATTTTATTTAATATATTGTGTCATTGGCAAAAAATATTTACAAAAAAGTAAGGCACACAGCGTGGACACTTTTTTCTTTAAGAAACAGCCTAGGAACCACATTACGTAAAATTTTTAACAAACATAATATTATTAATATAACAATAAAAAAACATAATAAGAACTTCACAAGATTACAAATAATATAAATAAACCTTTTGAAGTTCGCAAAAATTAAAAACTTAAAATTTTTGTATACAAACTGATATTTGAACTGTTAAAAAATAAAAACATACAATAATATTTGGTTTTATGGTATACATTCCTTGATTTCCCTTTGGCCTAGTGGAAGAGTTGGTCTAAAATTATTTTGAACGTGTCCTTTGTAGTCATCGCAAGGGCATTGTCCTTCCTTGCAGTAACTTTTCAGGTTCCTAAAGGCTTGCAACTAAAAAATAAAAAATTACCACTTCGTTCGTGATCTTACAACTATATCGATGACTTTCTGCCAAAGTATCGCAAGCAACATAACTCAAATTATTAAAATGAAAACATTTTTTGTTTTAAAGTCTGTTTTAATTTAAATATAGCCTAAAGGTTTTATAACAAGTAAATAGCTTATAATTATAGCTATTTACTTGGTATAAAACGTATAGTTTACGAGGTGTGTTCAGAAAATAACGGGAATTGTTAAATTTCGCGGCTTCGGAGGGTCCGGTTGTCAAATTTTTTTTATTATGTTGGTATACATGCCCCCGAAGTATGATAAAAACTTTAGCTGTTTTCATTGTTTACTTTGTCTGTGGCAGCCGCTAAGGTTAGACGTGTTTTATGAGCTCGGCGATTTTGGTTCGTTAAAAGAAATGGATCATGATGAAGGCGACAACATTAATGTAGACGAATAAATAAATATTTGTTTCAAAAAACGAAAATTCCCGATATTTTCTGAACACACCTCGTATATAAAACAGACTTTAAAACAAAAAATGTTTTTAATTCCCGAAATTTAAGTTATGTTGCTTGCGATACTTTGGCAAAAAGTCATCGATATGGTGCCACAATATTAAACTATTCATATTTTTTACAAAACCAGGGAGCCGATCCTATATAACATCATTGTTTTTACCTCTAAAAACAATGATATTATTCATCCAAGCAAAAAATAAATAGGTAAGCGCACAGTGCATTATGTAATATCAAGCAAACTTTTCAACTTATTCAAATTTGGTTTGTAGGTACTTTTTTATCATTGATTACTGACAGTTCGGTTTCTCTGGGGCTACATGAAGAGTTTAGTGTACCAGAGCGAAGTTGACACATTAGAACAACTCCGCGAACTTTTCACTGCAGCGGCAGATGAAATCCGAAATCATCCGGATATGATAGCAAAAGCGACACATTATAATTTTCTACGCCGCTGTCAACTTTGTGTGGATAATAACGGCGGGATAGTTGAACATTTATTATGATTTTGTGGAACACTTAAAAAATAGCTACATGAGCATCAATCGACGTAAAAAGTGAAAGGTGAAATTGAAAAAAGTAAGTATTGTATTATTAGAAGTACCTAAAATAGCTGAGTATGCAAAAAAAAAACAATTATCAACAAAGTATCAATGATAAAAAAAATTTAAATTTTTAATAAATGTTGATTATTGCCCACTGTGCAAGCATTCTTTGCGTTAGTTGTCATAAGACAGGAACAACCAGTGGCGGCCCAAAATTTCTACTTTACTTATAAAAATTTTAATGATTTTTTTAATTAAAAAATGACACTAATGCAAAAATGAAAGAGAAAAGAGACCATGGACTAAAACAGAAACCTTTTTCGTTCAAAATGAACTCACCTGTTCGTGTGATACTTCGATGGGTTCCTTAAAAACGATCCAGATTACGCATTCTGAGCAAGGAGGAGTGGTAAGAGATCCTTGATAAGTGTAATAGCCACTGTCCTCTGGAAGTAAACTTCCAGGATTCAAAGGGCTGGAAAGTTTTACTTTTTGGTCCTTGAATTGGATTTGCTCTAGCTGACGAACTATTTTGTCTAGCTCTTGGTTTTTACGGCCAGCCTAAAAGGAATGAAAATGTTTTATGTCGTTTTGTATATACAGTGATCAAAAGTATGGAACAAATTCATTAAAATTGTGTGGTCTGTTGATGTAGACCTTTGATCTAAGGTTGGGAAACATTTTTGCTTATGTGGGAGGAAGAGAGTCCAGTCATATTCTCGTCAAAGAAGAAAGGACCTATGATCCGATTTTCCACCATTCCTGCCCAGACATTCACTTTTTGCCGGTATTGGGAATTTGCCTCTACTACCCAATGAGGACTTTCTCTGCTCCAGTACCTACAATTTTGACGGTTGACTGTACCATTCAAACAGAAGTCCGAAATAAGTATTTTACGAGGAAAGTGTGGATTATTTACAAAATTCATCATAGTTTCACAAAATTGTAGTCTACGGTCCAGATCATCTTCGTTAAGTTAAGTACCTTTTTAATTTTTGTTATGCAGTAACTTATATAATTTAATTTAAAAATGGAACATGTTTTATGACATCTTAAAATAAGGAAAGATAATGCCTTTTATGTAAAAATTATAACATTTACCCTACGTAGAAATTTTTTATTTTAATCCCAAACTTATTATCCCATTTAAGCACGGATAGGTACATTCGTACCTTTATGTGTTTAAGTTGAAAATTAATAAGTAATATTATTGCTTTTGTTTCTATCATTTGTTTCACTAATTTAGTTGATTTTATCCCTTAAATATATTAATATACTAATTAGTATTGCTAAAATGTACTGTTATATGAAATTTCAGCTTTTTATAAGCATTTCTTTTCTTGATATCCCCCCAAAAATATTTCAGACAGTCCAATAAGTTTTCGGTAGTCATCTCTCACAATAGACTCTTTTAGTTATTTAGAGTAAAACCCATTAAGTTTATCAATTTCAGAGTTTACGGCCTATTCACCAGACCCCACTGTGGGCCCTATGCCCAAACTAGGTTGCAATAAGTCATTATTGAAAATGTATAATTTGTCACTATTGTTTTATTAAAAACATATTCAAACTTGTAAAAACATAATTGCTTTTTGAAAATACTCTACGAAGACTTTTTTATAAATGCCCAATGTCAGATCTTTAAAAGAAAGTATATTTTTAATGCAATCGTTTTAATTAAAACTACGATTTTTGCGAATTTTTTTATAGCTTAGAGGGCCATGAAAAGCAAAAGTCGCCTTAAACATTTCATAACTGACATTAGACCTGTCAATTAGTTGTGTTGGGTAAATAAAATTATGGAAAATTCGTGTTTTTTTTTTGTTTTTGGCAAGAACTGATAAGGTAATTAACATGAATATTTAATTTTATAGTTTTGCAGAGTAAAAAAATAGGAAGGCCAACGAATGCCAAGCCAAAATATATATTTTTTATTAGACAAAAATGTAGACTACTAAAAACTGTTAACCAAAAAAATCGCAAAAAATCGCGAAACTTATCCCAGTCAAAAATGTAAACCTCTGAGAAAAGAAAATATTAACAATTAATATGAATCTTAAGTTGTTTATCGCATGTATTGCTTGGACAATGAGAAAATTATATACATGGCGTTTAATATTTGTTAAAAGTGTTTACGCCTACTTTTTCTTTTTATCCGTTTTTAATATTACATTAAGGTGGCCTAGATGCATTGTTAAAAATTGCTCAAAGGGCATTAAAAAATCACATTTAAGTCCAGAATTATGTTAAGAATCCGAGAATGTAAATATATACAGGGGTTTCTATTTAATTTTTTTAACCTGGACCCATTTCCGGTGAAACCGGAAGTGACCGAAAAAATATGCGAAAACCCTCCTCTTTATACACCATTTACCTATTACCAACACTCTGTATTTCACTTTTTATCTGCTAAACGAAGCAACTGCGTTGAGTCAAATTGAACTATTTTCAGAAAAGGAATCTCTAGATTTATAATGTTCAATTTTCGGGATAAAACATAGTAACTATCGCGATATATCGATAGTAGGTATGCAGACATTACAAAATAATTTTTTTTGGCTAAACCGCTCATCGAACTTTTACAAGAGACAAAAAAGTTTTTAAACAAAGTAAGCTTTCTATTTCCTAGCAAACCATTATATCAACAGTAAAAAAAATACAAGCGAAAATTAGTACCTAACCTTGCTTTTCTGATTATTCTAATTTTTAATTATAACTGAGTTTAGCACCAAACGACGTTAATTGGCAGTTAAAACTTAAATTCCAAAAATATTAGAAATACATTAATACGTTATTAAGATATTAAAAAAATAGTTATTTTTTAAAACTTTAAAGACCTCTAACGACTAAACGAAGCAACTTAGTATAAAGGTAATTTGGGTTAAATCGACTTATTTTGATCCGAAGATAACGTTGGTATGGTTTGTTACACTAGTTGAAGATAACCCTGTATTTTATAAATTAATTTCCAAAAATACTAATGTGGCAACACTGGAAAATGAAAAAATAAATTATATAATTAATTACCAGCATTGGTTAGTCTCAAAGTTTAATTATTTTTAAAGTTTTAAGTAAATAGAAAAAAAATTGAATTAATGCAACCTAGTTTGGACATTGGGCCCACAGTGGACCCTTCCGAATAACTAGCCACTCCCTGTGAAAATATACATTTTTATCAAAGTATACACATAAATAAAATTATATTTTAACGTTTGTCAATAATTTATAAAATAAGGGTCACATAATAACAAACAAAAAATAATTTACGATCGAAGACCTCGCGACCAACCGTGTTACAAAATACCGCGCGCCTAACGTTGGTTAACGGAGGGTTCAGATGCAAGTCGGCACGGGTTCCCGTTTATAGAATGAGCTGAAATTTTTACTGGGAGTATATAAACACGTAATAAATATAATTAGAGGATATGCGTAAAAAAAATAAAAATAAGGGACACCCTAATATATATATATATATATATATATACAGTTCAGAATTGAAACATTTTGTGATGGTTTGAGCATGTTCATCACATATTGGGATTTTGCAAACGCTGCAACATTTTCTGGTTTTTCTTTGCTTTTTATTTTTGTTTCGGCAAATATAGCATGATCCTTATACTGGTTTAGGGCCTTTAGATTCTTGAGGTTTATTTTCCGTAGCAAATGATGACCCTGGTGGTACCAGTGGATGCCCCATCATCGATTATAGTGAATTTTTGGTAGAAAATATGTTTACAACATTTGGCATTTGCGAGCGTTTTTCAATATTACCCATTGCGAGGCTGCATCCTAAATCTTGATAAAAAGTTCTTCAGCTGGTGGATTTTGGGCACACCCATATCTCAGTTATTAGACATGGGACCCACATCAAATTTATATGAGTTTATAATGACATTATATAGACAAGTACTGCGCAAGCAGAATTTATATTAAAGTTTGCGAAAAAAAGTTGCAACCCCCAGCCTCCTGCCCCTCCAAATTAAGGTAATTTAAATTAAAGTGGTAAAATATTTAATTCACTGAAGTTTATCGACAAATTTCAAATTTTATTAAAAAAATTCAAGAATTACAGGTTTTATACCATTTATAATTTTTATTATTTCTATTACTAAATTTTAAAAAGTTATAATAGGTATAAAACCTGTAATTCTTGAATTTTTTTAATAAAATTTGAAATTTGTCAATAAACTTCAGTGAATTAAACATTGTACCACTTTAATTTGAATTATTTTAATTTGGAGGGGCAGGAGGCTGGGGGTTGCACTTAAAAACTAACTTTTTTTCGCAAACTTTAATTTAAATTCTGCTTGCGCAGAACTTGTCTATATAATGTCATTATAAACTCATATAAATTTAATGTGGGTCCCATGTCTAATAACTGAGATATGGGTGTGCCAAAATCCACCAGCCGCCACTGGATGACGACATAATTCCCTTTGGCCCTCCATGTCTTCAAATACTTTATAAAACCGAATCAATACTAAAATATTTCAATGCGTTGAATTTAAACCAAAATAAACAATTCCACAAAACGGCCTACGCAGAACAAAACAATTTTTTTTATTTTAAAGCTTTTAATTCTTTAGAGAGATATACTAACCAAAACAAAAAACATTAAACAATTCCAAAAACTTGCTTTCGCAAAACAAAAACATGTTTTCTAGTATAAGGTACAATTGTACCTATCTGTGCGGTATCAGTATATTTATTCTCTATGCACATAAGGGTTAACCCTTTCTCTGCTCCAGTACCTACAATTTTGACGGTTGACTGTACCATTCAAACAGAAGTCCGAAATAAGTATTTTACGAGGAAAGTGTGGATTATAATAATAATTATTTACAAAAATTCATCATAGTTTCACAAAATTGTAGTCTACGGTCCAGATCATCTTCGTTAAGTTCCTGCACTAGTCTAATTTTGTATGGATGGTAGTTTTCTTTTTTCATAAGACGTAATACTGTATATTTGGAGAACGCTTAAGAGACAGATACTTCACTGAACGCTCAACTTAAAGTTTTTACATCTAGTAGTGAATATTTGTTTTAAAGTATATGCTAACAAAGAAATATAAAATAAAAAACTTCCATATATCGACACTTGCTATTTGTAGAATAACAAAGAAGAATAATAAACTGATAGTTTGACTCTGAAATGAAATATTTTGAAATTTTTTATTTCTTTACCTTAAGGAATACTCCCAGCACACACAGACCGTCAGGGTGTTTGGCTGCTTCGGAAAAGGAGCCGTACTTCGTCGTGTTCCAGTGGACTAAATGTAACTAAAATTACAAAAATTGGGACAGTGAAAATTTGAAAAAAAATAAAATTCTACCTCTCCAGCATACTGTTTCCCGTTAATTGTATGTTCTGAACCCTGGTCATCAGTGGCACCCCAATGACAGTGAAACTGTTCGATCATATAATGTCCGTTCAGAGGACCTCCACTTAAATCTAAAAAAATATGTTTATTGTTACAACATCCAAAGAACCATGGTTTGGGAAAGAAATTAGTCCATTTTTCCCAACTAAGTTTGGTGTACGATATTTTACATTTATTGGGGGATATTTGGACATATAAATTGTATTTTCATTAAGTTTGACCAAAATTATATGGGGCATTCCACGCCAAATCGGATAGTTTCAAAAATTTTTTTTGATTCCTCCATTTTTTTAAAATTTTTTAGAACTCCTTGAAACAGCTTTCTCAATAAATTTTGAGATTTTTTTAAATGTTCTTTTTGAAAAAAAATATATTGAAAATATTTGAAGCGGTTTAAGTCAAGATTTTTGAGTTTTAAAGTTTAAATTGTGTTTTTAAAAATGTGTGTATTCTTCGGTTTTCTCGAAAAAATTTTATTTTCAACTTCTATCTAACAACTATTCAGCCTGGTCCGGTAGTAGGCCTTCCATAATTGAGGAGCATCCGTGCAAAACCGGCTATATCCACTTTAATAAAATGTTGGGAAAATGGCAAAAACTCTCGGTTTCCTGGCCTTAACAGATAAAAGAAAAAGCAAACTTGAGTTTTGTGGGCTTTGTGGTACTTGATTTATAACAGTGGCGGCTGGTGGATTTTAAGTATACCAATATCTCAGTTATTAGACATGGGACCCACACCAAATTTATAATAGTTTATATTGACATTAAATAAACAAGTTCGGCGCAAACAGAATTTAAATTGAAGTTTGCGAAAAAAAGTTAGTTTTTCCTGTCGCCTACCCTGCCTCCAGGCCCCCCTATTTGAGATAATTTAAATTAAAGTGGTGCAATTTATTATCTACTATAATTTATCGACAAATTTAAAATTTTATTTAAAAAATCCAAATATTACAGTTTTTATACCATTTTAAATATTTTTTTATTTTAATAAAATAAATAATAAAAATTTAAAATCGAATAAAATCTGTAATATTTGGATTTTTTGAATAAAATTTTAAATTTGTCGATAAATTATAGTAGATAATAAATTGCACCACTTTAATTTGAATTATCTCAAATAGGGGGGCCTGGAGGCAGGGTAGGCGACAGGAAAAACTAACTTTTTTTCGCAAACTTCAATTTAAATTCTGTTTGCGCCGAACTTGTTTATTTAATGTCAATATAAACTATTACAAATTTGGTGTGGGTCCCATGTCTAATAACTGAGATATTGGTATACTTAAAATCCACCAGCCGCCACTGATTTATAAGACATACTTTCGTTTTCAAAAACTTTATTTTAAGGCCACAATTTCAAAAAATGTTTTGTATATAGCCGGTTTTGCTCAAAAACCGAATAAAATGTGAAAAAAACATGAAAAAACAACAAATTTTAGTAGTATGTAGTATCGACATATCCAAGCCACATGCTCATCATCATTATTATTTATTTGTTTGCTTCTAAAGCTACCTTTTAAATGTGATTTTAACATGGATATAGTCGGATTTAAACAGAATTATCTTGGTTGTCGATAGAAATAAACCCAAAGATGCGAAAATCGAAGAAGACACACATTTTTAAAGACACGATTTAAACTTTAAAACTCAAAAATCTTGACTTAAAACGCTTAAAATATTTTCAATATATTTTTTTTTCGAAAAGAACATTTAAAAACGAACATTTTATATAGAATGAACATTTTGATTTGGACTATTTATTAGGATGTTATAAGAGAAAAACAAAAAAAAGCAGTTTTTTTGAAAGTTTGATCTTTTGAACCCGTGATCAAAAAAATCTCAAAATTTACTGAGCTCTTTCAAGTACTAAAAAATATATAAAAATCGGAGAAATAAATTTTTTTTTATAATATTTGTAAATACTCTGGATTTGTTCAAATATTTACCAATATTATGTCATTGGTCCATTTTTCAAAAGCCTAATATTTGCCCAAATAAACATAAAAAAATTGTCATCGTTTTTCCATGCTCAAAATTAAACCTACGGTAACCTACCTAACTTAATCCAAACTGATTTTGCATATTGCAAATAAAAGTGCTTTATCCTTACCTGATCCTTTTCCTTCAACATGAACCTTCCAACAGTATCCAGGGTTCATTACGTACTCCGTATTTTCCGCTATGTATTTCCATGTTAATTTCTTGTGGGCTTTTATTTCTTTTATGTCTAATGAACTAATGTTTACAGGACTTTGGTTCGGTCCTGCCGCTTCAGGATAGTTATTCGACCATGTATTAGGTCCTAAAATAAAATTAAAAAATTATTAATATTATCGAAAATTGTGTTTTGCAATATTTATTGTTTATATTAATTTGACATATAAAAATTATTAATTTATTGAAATTATTGACCTTTACTTGCAATCTGGTTTGAACTTGACTTAAATAACCCATTGTCTGTGAGAGATAATTCGAATGTAACAAAAAAAAGTAATATTATTTGTAACAGTATTTGTTATACGACGAGCTATAATCCTTCTTTATCCTTATTTCACAAGTTCACAATTTGATTAAGATCCGATGAACAAAAAGGCCAATTTAAAACAGTTTCACCTTCCATTTCCAAACAATTTTGGCAACTCTGCTGATAAATGGAGGTGCATTTTTCTGTATAAATCAAGGAAAGCACCTAGAGCCTTACTACGAGTTGTAGAACTAAATTCACATACCTTGAACCTCTTAGGAATTGTCTAATGGGAATCAAAGGAATGTTTTCACAAATCATAAACCCACCCCAAAACATTACCCTTCCTCCTTTGCCTTGAGGGATCGATCTTCCAGCTCAGAGTCTAGCTTGTCTTCCACGACCTCTAAAAATACGAATTCACCGGTCTTCTGATTCTGGATTTATCCGAAAATAAGACATTTCTCTAATCTTCAATTGATCAAGTTTAATGCTTTAAATAACAATTTAAATCGCCAACTCAATTTTGCACTAACATTTTTGGAACCCCTAACTGTGTACTGCGATTTTTTTATTCATGCTGGATATTGCACCACCGCTAATAAGCAGAGTTGTTAAAAACTGTTGAGAAATGGAAAGTGTGAATGTTTTAGAGTGGCTTTCCTGTTTACCGGACCTTAATACAATTGAAAACTTAAGGGATAAGGTTAAATCAAGAATATGTATATCAAAGATCGTTTTCTTACAATATATATATATATATATATATATACATTTTATATAATCAAGTGCCAAGAGACTTAAAGAGCTTAAAGCCACTTAACTTTAAAAGTAAGTACAAGTCCTACCTACTCAAATAATTTTTTGTTGTTTTCTTTTTTTAATTTAACCATTTTGCATTCTTTTGTTAGGTTAGATTAGATCTAGTTTAGGTTTGGTTTAGGTTTAGTTTAGGTTTAGTTTTAAGGATTTTAGGTTAGTTTTTCGGTCATTTTCACATATGGGGCAAAATTTGCCAAGTGTACCAGGTGAAAAAAAATTTGTCACCGATTTTGTTTAAACTTTACTTATTTGTTGTTCTTATAAAGAAGAATCATAGCATAAAATTTTTTTGCTCTAGGATTGTTCATTCAAGAGTTATGGATTATTGAAATTTATCGATTTTTTACTTTTTGGTGAAATCGCTTTTTATTTAAAAATTCATAACTTCTGTTCATCTCTTTATTAAATATTTCAATTTAACCACCTTAAATGATTTTTTCCGTACTTTTCAATGGGCTATACCGTTTTTGCAAAAAAATAAAAATTGCAATTTTTTTTTGAAATTTTGCAAAATTTTGCATTTTTTGAAACAATGTGTATTTTTTAATTTTTTTTAAAATAGCATAAAATCCAAGTTTATTATGTTACCTTTGAATAAAAAAAAAATTAGAGTGGGCCCGACATGTAGAAGGGAAGTTTTTCATATTTGAATGCCGCACGGTCTAGCCATCGAATAGCTACTACACTGCCGTATGCGTTTATACCTAGTAGATGCGAGTAAACGAATACAAAATGATAATTTAAAATGTAAAATTATGTTTGAGTAGTCAATGATGTATTTTAAATATTTACACTGCCGCACGATATAGTTTTTTTTATTGTGTATTAGTCCTTCGGAGGGGACTTTAAGCCCGCGGTCCGTTCCTACCCCTAACCCGCACAAGCCATTCAGTTGGCTTATGGGACTTCTTAAGAAGTAAGGGTGGAACTAAAAGAGCACTTTTGTATATAAACTGTATTTTTTTGCACAAATTGTTTAAGCATGGGTCTACATAGATTTCGCAAGGAGGGTCGATGATATTAAATAAAAAATGTATTGTTATAACCGTAAAGGCGCCATTCAGCTTATAGGCAACCCGTTACGGTTATAACAATAAATTTTTAATTTAATATCATCGATCCTCCTTGCGAAATCTATGTAGACCCATGCTTAAACAATTTGTGCAAAAAAATACAGTTAAAAAACTATATCGTGCGGCAGTGTAAATATTTAAAATACATCATTGACTACTCAAACATAATTTTACATTTTAAATTATCATTTTATATTCGTTTACTCGCATCTACTAGGTATAAACGCATACGGCAGTGTAGTAGCTATTCGATGGATAGACCGTGCGGCATTCAAATATGAAAAACTTCCCTTCTACATGTCGGGCCCACTCTAATTTTTTTTTTATTCAAAGGTAACATAATAAACTTGGATTTTATGCTATTTTAAAAAAAATTAAAAAATACACATTGTTTCAAAAAATGCAAAATTTTGCAAAATTTCAAAAAAAAATTGCAATTTTTATTTTTTTGCAAAAACGGTATAGCCCATTGAAAAGTACGGAAAAAATCATTTAAGGTGGTTAAATTGAAATATTTAATAAAGAGATGAACAGAAGTTATGAATTTTTAAATAAAAAGCGATTTCACCAAAAAGTAAAAAATCGATAAATTTCAATAATCCATAACTCTTGAATGAACAATCCTAAAGCAAAAAAATTTTATGCTATGATTCTTCGTTATAAGAACAACAAATAAGTAAAGTTTAAACAAAATCGGTGACAAAATTTTTTTCACCTGGTACACTTGGCAAATTTTGCCCCATATAGGAATAAGAAATACTCTTTTATTTATTATTATTTTTTTAAATATAAGTAGATATATATATATATATATATATGTGTATGTTCATATAGGTGATTCTAAATAAGTTGGGCAAGTTTTGACCTCATTTTGTTTGTTGACAACGGCGTAAAAAATTACGACGTGTCGCTCTTGCCATGATATCCGGATGATTTCGGATTTCATCTGCCGCTGGAGTGACAAGTTCGCGGAGTTGTTCTAATGTGACAACTTCGCTCTGGTACTCTAAACTGTTCATGTGGCCCCAGAGAAACCACAATAACAACCGAACTGTCAATAATTAATGATAACAAAGTACATACTAACCGATTTTAAATATGTTTAAAATTTTGCTTGATATTACATATTACACTGTGTCTTTTTTGCTTGGATAAATAATATCATTGTTTTTAAAGGTAAAAACAATTATGATTCTACAAAAGTTGGGCAACTATTGACCTCATTTTGTTTATATAGTTTTCGGAGAAAATTAAACAGTATTTTGTTATGAGAACATAGATAATATAATAAATATACTGTTCCAGACCGGGCCAGTCACTTTTTCAAACAGTTTCTGAAATATCTGTGTTTTCTAAATTTGAATGCAAGGACGAGTATCCCAGGGTACTAATTAAATACATAATTTATTGGAAAATATAAGATTTATTGCAACTTTGAGCATATTATAAATTAAATATCTTAAAATCAAATAATACCACACATCAGTGGCGGCTGGTGGATTTTGGGTATACCGATATCTCAATTATTAGATATGGGACCCACACCCAGAGCTGTCAGAAAAAAGTATCTTAGTTACTTTAGAGTAACTAAGTTACTTTAAAGTATTTAAGTTACTGTATCTTAGTTCCTTTATTTTTTTAACAAAAAGTATCTAGTATCTTAGATACTTTTTAAAAGGAACTGTATCTTGTAACTTAAAAAAAGTATCTTAGATACCGAAAAGTATCTTAGATACCAAAAAGTAACTTAGAGACCAAAAAGTATCTAAGATACCACAAGAAAAGTTCCTTTAGTCAAGTTGTTCGAAACGGCCGCGGCCATCGAAGTTATTATAATAAGTACACTGGCGACTTCAGCGACTGGCGCCAATCGACTGGCGGCGATTTTTGTTATACCTACTTAATTTTTATTCACCTATACTTCTTTTATAATCTGTGACTTTGCCACCCGCTCTGTAGAAGGGTGTTTCCGTTCGTTGCGACTTGAATTTATAGTGGTAAGTACTTGCACTTGCTTCTTTATGATGTACTGATGTAGGATATTGGTTGTTACATTGTACCGTACATTCTATAATGTTCAATGTATGTTTTCCATTTTAAATTTTAAAAAAGTGTTAAAAAAGATTAAATGAAAAGTGTGAGATAATTTTTTTATTTTTATAATTAAGTGGTGTTTAATTAACGATTTTATCTCTTTTTATTTTTAAGATATTTTAAAAGTGCCTAAGTTAGACACTTTTTGCATAAGACCCTTCAATGGTTTTAATCAACTAGATTTTATTGAAAAAAATTGTTAAAAAAGTAAGCTTAAAATTATTTGAAAAATCAGGGTGGGGTTGGAACGCATTTTTGTTGGGCGGTTTATTCGAAACTTATTACATAATATACAAAGTAACTAAAAAAGTATCTTATTAATTGTTTCGACCTTTACTTGATGAAACTCCATATTAACTATGTAGATATAAAAACAATTTTGTTGTAAAGTTTCACGAAATTTATTAAATTTTGACAGCTGTTTCGCTACACATTCTGAAGAAGCTACTGTGTAGCGAAACAGCTGTCAAAATTTAATAAATTTCGTGAAACTTTACAACAAAATTGTTTTTATATCTACATAGTTAAAAAAGTATCTTATTAAGTATCTTAAAAAGTAACTTAAGATAAGTATTTAAGTTCCTTTTTTTAAAGAGTAACTAGATACCCAAAGTTACTTCGGATACTTTTTCAAAAAGTAACATATCTTGTATCTAGATACTTTTTAAAAGTATCTTTGACAGCTCTAAATTTGGTGTTCAGCTCAAGCAGAATTTAAATTGAAGTTTGCGAAAAAAAGATCGAACATGGAACTGACGACGCGGTACTGATGAATGGGATTATAATTCGGAATTAAGTATTTTACTGATATTTTTTATGAGTGGATGCTACTTATCAACAAATCACATA